GTCGAAAACTGCTATCCGTTTCTCTGAATGTTTTGGGAGTTACAAAATTCACACAAAACTTTAAAAGGTTGAACGAAATCTACCTATAAATATGTCTTAGCATACCATTACGTTTATGAGTAAAAGGTTCTTGATTCCAGCAATTTCAATTTGCTCTACAATTTGGTAAACACAGTTAAGCAAGCGATGTGAAAAGAAGAATATGCAGTACTCATCCCACCATCTTTTACGCGATACAAGTTAGTTTTGTTATCTATGTTTGAAAACACCGGAAGATAAATTTCAAAAATAGGAAGGCGAAAACCGACAACTATATCTACACAAACCTTACAGCTGATACACGTAATATTATTTCTGTAGTGATGTTTCGAGGAAAATCTTAGAAGTGACTAATCTTTTTCAAATATTGTAGGAAATCTCTTCCATAATTTGAAGCCGAGGTTGAGCTACCCATTCAATGGTAAGAAATATACTAACCGTCCACAAGATTTTCGAAATCCATTTCTCGCAAGCAATTTTAGCATGATATCAAAAAGGAAGATTATTCATTTCATTTGTGTGTTAAATTTGTATTTCACCTATAGATCTATTCGCAAATGATCAATGAAGTAAGTTCGGGAAAAAACTTTAGGAAAGTTCTGCAACTCGCACATCGAAAGTCTTAATTTAGGGTTAGAATTGCCGTTAACTGCCGCTTAACTTTCACTTCTTTGCCTTAAGATCAAAATTCCATTTTCAGTGAATTTTGTAGATATTCCCATTTGTATTAGAAGTGTTTTAATCCTCAGCTTAATCAAGAAATAAAATAAAGACCGATAAGTTTCTGTTTAAGACCGCCGCTGAAGAATTTGTTCTTTAATAATTACCTCAAGGAACCGAGAGAGGTATAACATCCTAGAAAACATATTAAGAGCACTCTTTAATTACTGTGTACATCTTACACGACAGTTGACATTAATAGTGGAATTTATTTTTGATTGAAAGAACTTAAGCTCGGGCAAAGCAATGTAACCAAGCAGGACATTTGAGGGTTCTTTCTTTTTGGAAAAGTTGGAAGTTTTCTGAGCGCGAATTATGGCACCTAGAAAAGGCTAGCAAAAGATAATTATAAGCAAAAGAAGCAGAATTGAAAGGGCTAAAGTGCAAAATCTTCAAACTTCTTCTTGCCTTATACTTGTCAAAACAATGAAGAAGTTCATCAACTTGCTTCTAGGCTTTTCCAATGCCTATGAGAGCACAATATT